CTTATAATGTGAGATTAGACCTATGTCTGATAGTCTGGAAGCCTGTTATTTTTCTTAATGTGGAGTGTTGCCTGTTTTACCATTAAGGGCATGGTATTTTCCTTCTACAACTGTCACTTTCTGTCGTTGATGCAATTATATACCGGCGTTATCATTGTCTCTCTATTTAGGTTGACTGATATAGCTGCAGCTACCCATGCTGACATGGTCTCAGACTGCTACTTCGACTAACTAATGTTGTGCATAATGATACATGTTCCAGATTTGGAATTGGAGCCCATGCTGTATAATATGACAGGCAATGTTAATGCAACTATATTGGAGCATGAATGACTAGTTTTGAATGTTATGAAGCACATCATCTCATTTAACTATTGCTTATTTTACATTCTGGAAAATATATATTATGACATTTTTATAAATTCGATTGGGAAATCCATATGCTGACGACAAACCCTGGTGTAGAAGTGTGGTGTAGAAGGGGCATTATCTTAATTGTCATGTTTTTGGGGGGATGCTTGTGAAATAAAAAAAATCGACATTTCAGGTATGTGGACCTGGCGCACGTTCAGAAGTGAGTGAAAGCATGTAGGCTAAATCAAAACCATGTTTTTTTACATTAAGATTTAAAATACCTTTGCCATGATCAAGATAAATCATGAATCAAATTAATCATTTTTTCCCCTACAAAAACATGTATGGATGTGTGTTTTCTATCCAGGTTCTACAGAGGTGGATGTTCAATAGGCTACTGTCACCACCAGTGCAATGACCAAGCTTAGTGTTAAACTAAATCTCCACCTACTGTTATTACACTAACTGGGAGAAGGTGGTAAAGATCTATGGAAAACTACTCTCTCCGACTTGACATGTGTTTCTGATACAAAAGACATCCATTGCCTTTCGGGGGAGAAAGTGTCTGCCCACCTCTGTGAGAGACTCCAGCCAGCACTGGAAGCGAATAGCATACCCACCCATGATAGGCTTACCTGGTTTGAACATATTGCCGGAAATAAGACTGACTAGCCACTCATTCTTAATGGGTTTGTTCTTCAGTTACCCGAACTTTACTTTAAATTCATCCTCTAATTTAGATGGCAGCAACATTGTATTGTTGAGGGTTCTGAGGTTGCCCTGCACAGTGCTATCATTTGAACACTACAGAGTCGAGTAAAGTGTGATCCACTGCTGAGGATCAATGAATAATCTTCCAGAGGATGGAATCTTTACTAGGCCTTTGTTGTTTGCATGATGCCACGTGGCTGTGGGACAGTCCATACTTTTCACCAGGCCTATCTATACATGTAAATAATATACTTGGACAAGTGTAGGCTAGCTTGCAACTATATGAAATTATGTGATTAGTAGCCTATGCGTCTTCTAACTTTAGTCGGCATGAAAGCTCTATATCGGCCTAAGACTGAAACCACCGAATATAATCAAACTAATATTGAAGCCAATCTGTAGGATTTCCTCATTGGTAATTTCAGATAATGGTGTGTCTTTTTTTTAGAGTATGCCTTTTAAATTAGGCTATAACTGTGATGTATTTGACTCATTTTGGTTTCTTTTGACATTTGTAAACTTTGTAAACAATTTATGGATGATTCAAATAATTTAGCTCTCACGGAATGCCGTTCCCTGCATAGCAAAATGTCTCAGAAAAAATCTAGTATCGTTCCAATCATAAAAAGTGCTATTTATGAATGCACCTCGGAATATTGCTCCAAGGTTCACGTTTTTTTTCGTGGGCCCATTTTTGATGGTATGCACATCTTACAGTGTAGCTTTAATGATTACAGAATCTACATTTATGATATTGTAGCCTATAGGCCTATACCACGCTTGGGAGATAAATATATTTTTCAACTTTAGTTAGTCACCAACATTTCAAACAAATTGAAACAATCCAGTCAGGCTATTAAATAGAAAAACTATCCAGACAGGCTATTAAATAAAACATTATTAATAAAGTAAAAAGAACAAAAATGACAAGTGTATACTCTGTAGCTCCATAGCATTAACAATTAACGTTAATAGCAAAAGGACCTCTGCAACTTCCCAAATTCTTATAATAAAAGGGTTTAATAAAACTTGTATTGTTTTGTTTGTTTATGTTTTATTGGGAGAGAATGCATATTTTATTATTTATTATGGACTGTACAATGCAATTCAGCGCCTAGCCAATGTTTTTACCATGGAAATTAACTAAACCTTTTAGGCTACTATATATGCCTTTCAAGTCCTGAATTTTGAATCACAAAATGGTGGCTTAGACTTTTAACATCCATGGATAAAGAAAAACACGTTTAAGTGTATCTTCCGAAATACAACGTGTACCTATAGTCTTAAAGATGGCAGACTTTTATTTTACACTGTATCTTACAATTTGTACATTTTACTTATAAAATATAGACACATTTCCGCTATATCTAGGCCTACTGCTTGTAATTTAAAATAAATCCCCATGTGTTCATCGTATAGAATTAGTAAACCGGTTGATATGTGGTCACAAAAACTGCTTAAGAGGCATGTTTTGTTTTGCTCTCTACCCAGATGTTGTTTCTCTGATAGCTACATGTTTGGTTTGATGTAGATTATGGCAAGACCAGACTGTTCCGTCCAGATTGTGTCTTCTGAAACTGGCAACTCGGAAGCGTCATTGAGGGCTCTATTAATTGCTGCGAGTTTGCACGTAAACTCCACAATGCTGGTGTGAAGTTCATTCTTGCCTGTCTAGACTTATTACGACTGTGTTTGTCCGGGTTCCCTACCTTGACCTTGGACTTCCTTGTGTCTGCCATTTTGGAATGAATGGTCAATATTTGTGAGTTGCTCCGCTGGCGGATATGAGTTCCTATTTCCTGGGACAAACTGAAGAGTTAGTCCAACGATTTTATTCCCTTTATCGCTTCAATTCCAATAGCCTAGGCCAGGGTTCTCCAACCCTGTTCCTGGAGAGCTACTGTCCCGTAGGTTTTCGCTCCAACCCTAAGCTAGCACACTTGATTCAAATAATTAGCTGGTTGATACGCTGAATCAGGTTAGTTACAACTGGGGTTGGAGCGAAAACCTGCATGAGGGTAGCTCTCCAGGAACAGGGTCGGAGAACCCTGGTAGGCTGTGGTTTGTTTCATGTTGCTTTTGACACAGCGCCCATCCCTGGTGCATTTAGCTATACAGGACTGCCTCTTGACAATCATGGTGAACCTCCTTGTGTTGTACTAAAATTGACTGAGATTTTAGATGGGCCTAAATAATCAAAAATGTTGTGTTTATAGTGCGACTGAAACTTCACGAAACACGTTCTGGCGCAGTGCATACACGCCCACAAAACACAATTCTTAGAATTGAGCAATATCCTACATTTTTGCAAATATAGGCCTACCTTTTAACTATGTTTAGCACATCGTCTATGCACTTATGACTAAACCTGAAATATAAGGTATTATGGTTGGTCAATAACTTTTGTCCAATTAAATAATTTGGGGACAGGTGTAAGCATGGGCGCAAGACCAATGCCTTGCGTCCCTAATACAGATTCTTGACTCAGATGACAAAAACGGCCATTAGGGAAAATAAATACCCATCTTTATTGTTCATCAACCTATACTGGAGAAAATAATACATTCTGTTAGATTAAAGAATATGCATGGCCCACTGTTATGACAAAACAAAACAAATATTAGGAGGGATGGATAGTCTATAGCCTATGTTTTTCATATTTTCAGAGTTTTGCCAAAACTGCACCGCAATTTCTGTTTATTACCCCCAAATTATAAAGACCAAGCAGTTGCATGTCTCAACAAACCACTATTTCCGAGTATCCAACTGCGCATAAGGATACGAGCAAAACAAAGTGGTTTCTCTGTGCCGTGGAGAGAGGTTTATTTTATATTTAATGTCTTTATTATTTCCATTGTTAGTTTCTTCTGTCAATTGTATTTGCCTATTCGTTTGAGAGTGGTAGGCCTATTGGAAGAAAGCAAATGTTGCTATTAGCCTACATATAAGCTACAATAATGGGCTACATTAACGTAAATAGGCCTGCCAATCATTATTAGACTCAAACAAACATGTCTTAGAATTTGAACATTGAAAAATGTCAGTCAAGTTAAATAAATTAAGCTGTCATTACGCATTGAGAATTATCAGAGCGTTTCAGATAGGCCTATCTACCATTGACAGAGCCTACCACAAGAAAAATATAATTCCTACCAAAACTCCTATAGGTTACAACCCCATTTTGAAGGGTGGTGTGTTATGCTGCACTCTACATTTTCTGGTAAGAGTATACATTTTGAGTAAATAGACTGTTGTTGTTTGATGTCATATGCTACCTATAAATGTCCCACAGCCAACAAACTAAGGTTTTCTTTACAGACATTGTACATTTTTAAACTCAAACGTAGCCTATCCTTTCGTTGGTGGTTGCTAAATGTTGTATTTCAAAACGTTAGACTATAATTAATGTACCTTAGCCTATTTTATTACATCAAAATATTGTTAGACCAAAATACGCTCAACAAGCCTAATCTTTACCTTATCAAGAACCGAAAATCCTCACACGTATCTAAGTAGTATCACTGGCCTGGCGAATTGTTCAACATCGCCAACGTTATGTGGTTTTGATTAAATACGTTTCCGTTTTGTAAAATATGAAGATTATGGCCTCCTCCACCTTCAAACTGTTGAGCATGTTTTATGTCCCCTTTAAGGATACTTGCCTCCGATAACCCAAGCCAATGAGAGTATCTGCTGGACTTTGCAATCAACAAACATACACCAGGCGGTTTAAAGGGATGATCCACTCGCCCCCACAGCACACGCTCGTGTCGGTCTCGTTATTGTATCACGTGTCGGCGGATCCTAGGGTCTCAATAATGAACTGGACACTTGAGCATTGCGCGGTGCGCATGCGCATGCGTAAAAAATGTGCTTGGAGATGAGGTGTAGGTCTTGGAGTAGTCGACTTTTAAAAAGCATCCGCAACCAGTGATATGACGACTTCGCTGGTTCTGCATCCATGCTGGGCGGACACGTTGATGTACGTATATGAAAAAAGCCCGAATGAAAATAATCAGAATAAAAACCAATCCATGGAGGGACTAAGCGGAAATTGTCCTGCTACTCACTGCAGGGAACTGATCTCGCACTCGGCGTTGGGACGACACTCCGGCAGCCTAAGCCACCAGGGTTCTGTGTACTCGGACATACCCTCCCAGGATACAGGGCGACATTGCCCCGCTACTCAGACTTCCTCCAGCGCCACCCTGGGTTATGGCTACCCGTTCGGAAGCCCTTATTACGGTTGTCGGTTGTCACACTCGCACAACGTTAACTTGCAGCAGAAGCCGTGCTCTTACCACCCTGCCGAGAAGTATACAGAACCCAGCGCGGCGCTGCCCACGGAAGAGCTGTCAAGCAGGGCAAAGGAGTTCGCCTTTTACCCGAGTTTTGCCAGCTCGTACCAGACTGTCCCGGGTTACTTGGACGTGTCTGTGGTTCCCGGTATCAGTGCGCACCCGGAACCGAGACATGAGACTTTGATTCCCATGGATGGCTATCAGCACTGGGCTCTATCTAATGGCTGGGACGGACAGGTGTACTGTTCTAAAGAGCAAACACAGTCAACACATCTCTGGAAATCTCCATTCCCAGGTATGAAAACATTTTCACTTTTATTGAAATGGACGGTTCATGTAATGTTTTATAATACCAAGTGGTTTTTACGTTTCACACTTGTCAGTGTTACCGGCACTACACTAAGACGAACAGGACCAAAAGTGTGTATGTGTGTGTGCAGTGTTTCCCCTATATTCATTTAGCAGTGGTGGCCTACCGCTGACAAATTGTTGACACCGCTGCAAAAAATGTCATAAAAATAAATAAATATATATCTCTAAGAAAGGATCGAAATATCCTGACATACATTTGCTTGTATTTATTTATTCATTTATTTATTTATTAAAAACCCGTTTCCTTTGTATAGCCTTGTCATATAAAACAGCTTATGACTATAACGCACTTGAAGTGCATGATACCACAGGGTAGTGGGTTTGTTTATGTTCATCTTTGCGTTCAATTCCGGAGAAGAGACCATTTTTCAATAGCCGGATATGGGACTAGAAACAATGCAAAAACAATACCTTTGATTTTATAGTAGCCTACAATGAGGTTTATGGATTGGAGCAGGGCACCGTTGCCCTCCCGGATAAAATAACAGATATTTGCTCAGTGCAGTAAATCTAGTCACAACAGGGAGTGGTGCCTTGAAGCTCGCCATTTTCACGCCTTGTGTTTATTCTCAATTTGCAATTGCGAGCATATTTATTTTCAGTTTTTCAAATTCACTGTCAAATCAATGGTAATCAAGGGTGACTCAATTTAGGATCGTTGAAGTGTGTGTGTGTGTGTGTGTGTGAGAGAGAGAGAGATCCAAATAAATTATCCAAAGGCTATGGATGCGTTGAGTCAATTCAGGAATAGAAAAATGCATTTTCAGTTTTGTTTACATTTTATAAGTAGCCTTAGAAACCTTTCATGTATAAATTGTGTAGTTCAACCGAATTGATCCGTTAGTTATGTGGTGACACTGCGTTATATAAACAGCAGAGAGACAATGAGGCCGATTGCCCCTATTGAATAGCACATTCAATTTCGGAATACCACCTTGTTGACGAATAGCTCATGGATTCCTAGATTGATTGGCTTATCATTCACAATCTAGTAAACCGTTGACACACATGACATTTGGAGCTTGTATGACTACTTGCCGTAGGCCAATACAGTCAATAGCCTATTGTAATATAGTGTAGTATTGGGGCTATATGCCCATAACACAGAATATACCTACTGTGTTTGAACAGTAAAACATTTTGAAATAGACTGTACAGTTTTATTTTTTATTGTCCTTGGTTCGACTGTCCTATTAACCATTCCTAATGTTGTTCATGACCTCATTAAAATAGTCCTTTATCTAATCTCTGCTGTAGATGCGCTCTTAAATAAAACACGCTGAAATAAAACTCAGTAGAAATAATAAATAGGCTATGATAGGACTGTTAACAAACCAACCTACGGAGCTTGTGTGCACATGCACAACGCATCCGCATGATCAAATTAATGGGATGTGATGTCTTCTTATATAGCTCTATCACATCAATTGAAGCTGCATTCAAGTTTAAAATCATGGACTATTAATATAGATAGGATTAGCTGCCCAGCCTATTCCCAACCTATTACAAGTTACATTATAAACTGGGTGGTTCGAGCCCTGAATGCTGATTGGCTGACCGCCATGGTACTGTATATCAGACCGTATACCACGGGTATGAGAAAACATTGATTTGTACAGCTGTAATTACGTTGGTAACCAGTTTATAATAGCAATAAGGCACCTCGGGTGTTTGTGGTATATTGCCAACATACCAAAGCTAAGGGCTGTATGCAGGCACTCCGCATTCTGTCGTGCTTAAGAACAGCCCTTAGCCTTGGTATATTCGCCATAAACCACACCCCCACACCCCGAGGGGCCTTCTTGCTTAATCATAGCTCCAATTCTTATTATTAAGGCTTAATATTCGCAGTGTTTTCCTGTCAGTATGCCAATTTCATTTTTATGCATAGGTTACATATCTATGTTTGGACTAAATGGTCATCATGGTATGCATAGCCAGCAAGTCAGTATTCAATGTACATCCATGTCTGAGGACTTCGGGAGATGTGCTTGGCAAGGCCTAAGTCATTTCGACATTTTAGATGATTCACTATATATACAAAAGTATGTGGACACCCCTTCAAATTTCTGGATTCGGCTATTTCAGCCACACCCGTTGCTGACAGGTGTATAAAATCGACCACACAGCCATGCAATATCCAGAGACAACAATTGGCAGTAGAATGGCCTTACTGAAGAGCTCAGTGACTTTCAACCTGGCACCGTCATAGGATGCCATCTTTCCAACAATTCAATTTGTCAAATTTCTGCACTGCTAGAGCTACCCCGGTCAACTGTAAGTTCTGTTATTGTGAAGCGGAAACATCTAGGAGCAACAATGGCTCAGCTGCGAAGTGGTAGGTCACACAAGCTCACAGAACAGGACCGCTGAGTGCTGAAGCGCGTAAAAATCGTCTGTCCTCAGTTGCAACACTCACGACCGACTTCCAAACTGCCCCTGGAAGCAACGTCAGGACAAGAACTGTTCATCGGGAGCGTCATGAAATTGGTTTCCATGGCCGAGCAGCCACACACAAGCCTAAGATCACCATGAGCAATGCCAAGCATCGGCTGGAATGGTGTAAAGCTCGCCGCCATTGGACTCTGGAGCAGTGGAAACGCGTTCTCTGCAGTGATGAACCGCGCTTCACCATCTGGAAGTCCGACGGACAAATCTAGGTTTGGCGGATGCCAGGAGAACGCTACCTGCCCCAATGCATAGTGCCATCTGTAAAGTTTGGTGGAGGAGGAATAATGGCCTGTGGCTGTTTATCATGGTCCGGGCTAGGCCCCTTAGTTCCAGTGAAGGGAAGTCTTAACGCTACAGCATACAATGACATTCTAGACGATTCTGTGCTTCCAACTTTGTGGCAAGAGTTTGGGGAAGGCCCTTTCCTGTTTTAGCATGACAATGCCCCCATGCACAAAGCGAGATCCATACAGAAATGGTTTGTCAAGATTGGTGTGGAAGAACTTGACTGGCCTGCACAGAGCCCTGACCTCAACCCTATCGAACACCTTTGAGATGAATCGGAATGCCAACTGCGAGCCAGGTCCACACACCTTTGGTCATGAAGTGTATATTTTGACATAACTATACCATAATGACTGACATCTAACCGTAGCCTACCTCAAACATTTAGACCCATCTTAATAAAGTAGCCTATAGCCCAGCCCTGCTCAATCTACGTGGGACCATGAACTTCACAAAATGCAATGATTTAAATGCAATGCATCAGAATCCAGTGCTGGGTGCTTTCACAGTATTCTGCCTGTAATAAAATCAAATAAAAAAACGATATTTCCTATTGTTTCTCCTCATTTTCAAATGTTGTAGGCTAACAGTTGTTGTTTTCTTTGCCTTCCTTTCAGTGTGTTATGCCCTTCTTTTCTCAGATGTCGTCCCTATGCAACCAGAGGTCAGCAGCTACAGACGAGGCCGCAAAAAGCGGGTTCCTTACACCAAGATCCAGCTGAAGGAGCTAGAGAAAGAGTATGCAGCCAGCAAGTTCATCACCAAAGACAAGAGACGTCGAATATCTGCCACTTCTAATCTCTCCGAACGCCAGGTCACCATCTGGTTCCAGAACCGGCGGGTGAAGGAGAAGAAATTTGTCTGTAAATCTAAATCAAGCTCTCATATGCATGCCACTTGATTCAGTCCAATCTCACTGGCATGACAACTCAAATACTTTTTTTTATCACAGAAACGCTCAATATTTATATTGACAGAATTCTCACCTATGATGCATTGCAAAACACAAACTTAATCTCACCTCCCTATTTGGAAATAAACTGGGGGGAAATACAGAAGATTTAATGAAAACTGGTTGGAGCGAACGATCACATCCTTTCAGGAGCATCAAAAGCAATACCAGCATTGTTAGTATAGCCTCAGACCTATAAATTACGGACGTTTGTGGCTGATAAAGTAAACTGAGGTCTTTGGAGATTTCATACAGTGATCTTGTTCAGACATTTTCAGGTATTGGACGCATCAAGAATGATCTCACTTTTCAATGATATTGTATATGGCCGTTTTAGTTTGATCCCAAGGTAATGAGCAAGGTTGCTATTGTCTATTGTACAGTGCCATGCATATTTAAGGTTGTCTCCTGTGACAGGGGTTGTAAATTGCTACAGACTATTTTATGGTTCTCATATTTTGATCATTTTTGTCAGTGAAGGATATGTCTCTGTAATGCAACTGGAATGATTGTAATCAGTATAAGAATATTAAAAAGTATTGCATATTAATGCAGAATCTTTTACCATTTTGTTTGTATAGTGAGTTAAGTCTTATTGCATTTGGGCTGTGCATTCCCATTGTAAGCCGTTTTATTCCTTTTATTTGGTGCAGTATTTGAACTGTGGTGTGGCGCTTGATCGAAATTTACTCAATGGAAACATGTTTCATAAATAAATAAATATAACGATCAAACAAGATCAAATTGATCTGTTTTCTATTTTATCGGCATGACCCTTAATCTGTACCTGTCTCCCACTTATCTGGTTTTATAGCTTAATGTCTACTCTTTTATCTAGCTTTGTCTGAGGTCTTCACCAACTGGGCACACACTGGTTGAATCGACGTGGAAACAACGTTGAACCAACGTGGAATTTACGTTGAATTGACGTCCGTGCTCAGTGGGCAATGTCACTGTATATGATGTTGTAGATTAATAGATTGTAGATTGTGCATTGACAATTAGTTGGTACATGAGAGCTAAGACTGAATGCCCAAATATTCTGCAAATCAGAAAAGCATTTGAACATTTTTTGAGTAACCAAATTATGGACCCCAATCCAAAAATGGAAATAATAACCTATTTTGATACTATAGTTAGGCTATTATGATGCATGTTGGGAAATGTTCTTATTCGGTAAATAAACAGCAGTCTAACCTCACATGTTCAAGTGGAATCGTTTGATAAAGTGCCGTAAATTGGCCACAACCTAATATGATAACATTACCTATTTGAACTTGCATGCAACCAGCTTCACTGTCGTTAAGCATGGCTACTCCTGGACTAAATTGTTAAGAACCCCTAAACTGAAAAATGTTCCATGACTATTGGTTAGATTCTAGATTCCCAATCCAGACTTTGTCCTCATCATATCATTTTAATTCTGCTTTCAAGACCGAAAAGTCGATCTACTTCAGGACCAGCTGATACAAATGAACTTCCTTACTATCTCAATTCCATATTGGAAGATTGTCATGCCAAAGAAATCACTTTCAAAACTGTGTTTAGTCGGTCTATAGGTTAAGTGAAAATATCTCAGTGAAACCTAAATTAACTGCATTACATATTCTGAATATGATTCTGTCAGAATGGAATGATAGGCTAGGTATTGTGTCGAAATAAGAATTGTCTGTGTAGATTATTAACAAAGATTTTAGTCAGTTTAAGAGTAGGCGAAAAAATCTTATGTCGTGTAGCTGTTTCAGTTTTTAGTCTCCGCAGCAATCTGATTCATTCAGTAATTAATTCATGAATGTGTGTTCCAATATATGGCATTAACTAATTTGAGATTATCATATGACGCTTATAGCCTATATTTGTAAAATTATGATACATTATCTAAAGCCTATATATGCCTATATAGCCTACACTTTTAAAAAATCTAAATTCGACAATGGAAATGTCACAATGTTTTGAAACAATTGGTGAATAAATTGATAATATTTTTTAAGAAAATTGGCCTTTTACGCACAACTAAACACGTGCGTAAAAGGCCAATTTTCTTAAAAAATATTATCAATTTATTCACCAATTGTTTATAAGTTAAGTGAAAATATCTCAGTGAAAACTAAATGAACTGCATTACATATTCTGAATATGATTCTGTCAGAATGGAATGATAGGCTAAGTATTGTGTCGAAAGAAGAATTGTCTGTGTAGATTATTAACAAAGATTTTAGTCAGTTTAAGAGTAGGCGAAAAAATCTTATGTCGTGTAGCTGTTTCAGTTTTTAGTCTCCGCAGCAATCTGATTCATTCAGTAATTAATTCATGAATGTGTGTTCCAATATATGGCATTAACTATTTTGAGATTATCATATGACGCTTATAGCCTACATTTGTAAAATTATAATACATTATCTAAAGCCTATATATGCCTATATAGCCTACACTTTTTAAAAATCTAAATTTGACAATGGAAATGTCACAATGTTTTGAAACAATTGGTGAATAAATTGATAATATTTTTTAAGAAAATTGGTCTTTTACGCACGTGTTTAGTTGTGCGTAAAATAGTCACCCTCGTGTAGCATATATCTCTTGAATACGGTGCATTTTACACTAAGACACGTAAGGCTATTCATTTCTTCATCAACATTCAAAAATACTTTATTTTACAGGTTCATAATGATCCATATTTCAACTCTATTATCCTGCATCTGTGTCTCTAATGCACTTTTTTTGTGGAAAACGTTTAGTGGACATGCTAGCCCACCACTTCAAAATGAAGGTGTAAACGGATATGAAGCTACTAGTTGCGTGTGAAGACTGCGTGAAGCATCTCCTATCTGAATTGACAGATCCTAATGGTTTAATTTTCAAATCTCAACTAAATACTTGGTAAAATTGCTTGTGGATGAGGTGTGATTAGAGCACATAAGCTTGAGGGATCAATCATTGGGCTATACGTATCTTTAAATATGCTATCTAAGATATCTTGAGTTGTTCTTAGTAGCAAAATTCATTAGCTGACTTGGTAGGCTTGGTAGCCCATAATAGTAGCCCAATCTGCGCCATAGTCGTGTTGATTATTAATATAGCCCGTACTCTCTAAAACGCAACAATCCGTCCTAATTTTAATCTTAGGCCTTGGCTGCTGGTATGAAGAGATCCGACCAAACGCAGGTACAATTTATGAAATTGGACAAACCTTTCTATAGGCGTTTTGACATAACTGTTGCTGGATATTTTGTTAAATTAACTTTTAGCAGAAGTTTTTGGGCTTGTATAATGTAACTTCAGAGCTCCTCGTCTTTTGTGTCTGTACGTCACTTCTTGGCTACCCTTGACCATGACTATGCAGTCAATTTGACCTTGACATAACAACAGCTCGTGCATAGCAAACTAGGGAAGGTTGTTCTTCCTTTCTCTGGTGGGATGGGTGGTGGGCACCGGCCTCGCGATTTGTTTGCAAGGCAATATAATATTTGTTGTAGTCTAGACAGGTTATCGCTAGCATTCCATAAAAGAGGATACTGTCAATGCTTATTTGATATCACCCCCAAATTCCGTCCATTTTAATCAGTTTCTGTCTTTCATTTATATTTCTTATTCTTATTATTTTTCCTTATTCTCTGCCTGACAGTCTTACAGAATAATCTCGCCCCGGTCTCCAGACCTTAAATTATACAGCACACTTACACAGTCATCATAGGGAGTGTGTCGTATTTTGAGCGTGTGTAACAGGTAGACAGACCATTGACGTCTTGCAAGTCCATCAGGTTTGACACCGACAAGTTTGAGCTGTAGCGTTCTTTTAAAGTCGAGATTTAAGGTGTGCTCCTTGCGATGAGCTGTGCATCTGCCTTAAAGGAAAACAGACGTGGCCCATAACATCATTTTTGAAGGTATGTAGCTGTTTTTATACCTTGAGTTCACATCAATGTGCAGAACTGTATGGCTATATCAAGAGTGTATACCTGCTCCGTTTAAGATTTAGGACTTGAATAATAGGAAAGAGAATATTTAACCCTAGCGCCATGACATTTGTCCTCTTAAGATGTAACTTTATTTATTGTTGTGTGCATGCACCCCTATGGTCGTATTTTTGGGTAGTGCAGTAGCCAAGGTTATGAATTATCACTCATTTTGCTTCCACAAGTTCATGAAGTAGCCTATATGGCACTGGTAGAAGACAACCTTAAAGGTTATGTAATAGGAGTAGCCTTTTTTTTTTGTGAAGACAGGCAGCTTCGAAACTAATTGGTTTGTTATTTTGTTTCATATTAAATAGCAAGCGAAAACTCTTTCTTTGGAAGATATTGAGAGAATTATACAATCATAGGCATATGGAGGCGTTTAGAGCACACTTTTGATAGACTGTTAGATTGGAATAGCACGGCCTAATTCTTGCTTGGTTTCGATGACTGCTCTTATAGACCAAATATCTGAAAATCTACATATACATTTCTAGAATGAAAATAAGTCACACACACAACCATTTCAAACTATTCCTGAACAAATGGCAAACATTTTAAGGAAATAGTGAGCCTTTTACGCACGTGTTTAGTTGTGCGTAAAATAGTGTAGCATTCACTTATCCAATGTAATATAATACAAAATGGATTATATTTTCAGTTGAGGTTTTTAATGTTTAGGCCCATGCATTACGTTTCTGAGCTGTGTGTAATCCGTATTACTTAGATCATCTCTAATTTCAATTTCACATTTAGGTATATCGAAAAATTGTAAATGGCTTTTGACAAATATCCGTTTTTTATGTCCGGGTAAACCACGTAGTTGAGCTGCTTGTTTACATTTCAAGTCACAGGGCCTCTACACCGTAATACTGTATTTTTTTTGTCTCACTTATAGCCTGCCTACATTTGAACGGTGTTCCTTAATTAAAAGTCCACAATGTAGCTAGTTTTTGGATAATATCTTCACATTTTAGGCTATATTTCTTTGTTCAATATCTTTTCATACTTTGTCATCGGTTTCATGTTTTAAAATTTACATAATTTACATGATATAATTTAGCCTACATTAAAACAGGGATTTTGTCCACTCGTGTGAGTCAATATCTTAAATTAGAACCGTGGGGACCGATCTAGGGAAAGAGCTCGAGAGAGAAGGCGTCTGTCATGGTCAGTCGGCCGGAGTATGAGTGAGTGAATATGTGCTGTCCTAAGTGGGCATGCTGAGAAGGAGGATGACAGCCTCTGGTGGTGGATAGATGGACATTTCAGGAAGTAGTGGATGGATTAACCCTTTGCAGTATATAGGTGCGCAGAATTTGAAGAAGAACAACATTGTCACGTTTTAGTTTTTTTAATCAAATGATTTTTCTTAATGATCTGAGATTTTATCACATATTGCCTTACTCTAATCCAAACAACCACCTCAACCACCCACCCAGAAATTGTTTCTTTTTATCAATTGTAGTTGAAGTAGTAGTCTAATTAATATTTTTTTGAATTGACATTTTTATAGCATGTGTCAGTGGTAATGTTACATGATTTAAAGCTAGTTTGTCAGTCAGAAGAACTGCCTTTATCCTGAACAGCTGAACTGTGTTTGAGTTGACATTACATCAGAAATAGCTGCAGCCGTTCCTTGCAGATGACGCATTCACACGCAGGGGTAGGACATATTGTAAGATATTATGGCAGATTATAGTTTATTTTAAGCAAAAATATTTAGTGATGAAATATGATTAACAGTTTTTATTGTAATAATTAATTCTGGATTAATAACTTGGCAGGTAATCGGCAGTCCTTATGACATACGCACACACACACACACACATACACAAACACACTCAATCACACACACACACACACACACACACACACACACACACACACACACACACCCTACCCACACACACACAGACAGATTTATGAGATTTGCATCACAGTGCAAAACCGCATGTGGGTCCATATTATGCGGTTGTGCCTTACAAAACAAATCACACGGACTGTTGTAATATAGGCCATATAGCCTACAAATAGAAAACAGAATTCCAAAAGTCTTTGAAGATTGCCCAGGTGATGTCAGGTAGCGTAGTGGTTAAGAGCGTTGTGCCAGTAACCGAAAGGTCGCTGGTTCTAATCCCCGAGCCGACTAGGTGAAAAATCTGTCGATGTGCCCTTGAGCAAGGCACTTAAACCCTAATTGCTCTGGGTAAATATAAAATGTCTTTAGGCTATGTATTCGTTGTATATATTCGGGGTTTAGGGTAAACAAAATGTAGCCTACCAAGTAATGTAGCCCTATCGATTGGAGTAAGGATGCAATTGACTCAGTATGAATATTGTCAAAATCAATGCCCATGAAGTATATTTTGTGCCCATGTAGTAGCCGTTATTGTGTGTTAATGTTGATCTTGCGTCAAAATACAAGTTTCATATTCTGAATTGCAGATGTCTTGTAAAGTAAACATTATAAGCCTACTTCAATTGAGTCTTGTTTATTTTATCCAACTGCTTAAGCCCTGTTCTTTTTGTTTATTTTAGCTGTCTTTATACGATAATACATGATACATTACCATTTTGTTTAGATCAAGCCATTAATGGTGGGGTAAATTTGTAGTTAGGTTATGCATTTGAATTTGACACGGTCTGTTTTTATTGAGTTGTAGACTAATCAAACGTGGATTACATTTAAAATAGCCTTGTAATCTGTGTTAAACTCAGGTTAAGATTGTTGATAAAGTTGTTGAAATAAAAAAGAAACAATCAAGTGCAAACAAGTGCTCTGATGAAGTTGCAGTCCTTAGTTTCTTTTACATTCCACAGTGTCCAATTGTGTTTCTTAGATTGCCAATTTAATATTGCTATTGGTGTTGCCTGTACGAAACCTATAGGCTATAGACTGAATAATCATATAATTTCATTCTCACGAAAAATCACGAAAAATATCAAAAACATTAATATATTGATGGGAAAATATAACTTCGCAAATCAACAATTAGATAACTAAAGTGCGATATTTTTTATATGCTACCATCTAAGAATGAGCTATAGCAGCCTAATGTAAACACGTTTGACAGATATTTGGCTTCAGGATGATTTTTTAGGGGACTTAAAAGAATCTCATGAGTTTCACAACGGTGCTGTAACTTTGACAACATGTTGTAACGAACTCAAAGGAAGGAAACGCTCTTTGTTGACGCTATTGTCCCTGTCTGGACATGGCGAGAGATTCCAAGACAGTTGTGTCAATGAGCCAGCAGACATCAATGCACTAGACAGTGACCTTGAACTGCCGAAGCGCCAATTGGTAGGCCTATAGCGTTCTTCAGTAAAAAAGCGGAAAGAAAGAACTTGAGTCAGAGAAACGCGGAAGTTTCACCACCTTTTTACAACTGTATGTTAAAATGTGATTCCTGAGTCTTGTGTTGAGTAGAAATTACGCGTTTTTTTTCTTCTAAATACTGCGTTTCTGGTATATACGTGATCATGTTGTTTTTTCTACTTCCTTTCGAGGCGTCAGGTTTTGTAGTTATTATCATTTTTCAATGGCTGTCATTATACGACATGGGTAGGCCCTATCTTCACTTTCACCAAGGTAACTTCCGTGTTTGCCAAACTGACTGTTCTTTAACGTCATAACTTGTGATTAGCACTATGTGCGCTGAGAAATAGATAGGCTACATTAGCACAAACATCAACTATGTATTGGCCTGTGTGTTAGTGATCCTAGATATCATGAACTGTTATTATGAGAAACCCCTTGCTACTTTGGTTAATGCCATCCTAGTACCCTAATCTTTGCAATGACTGAAGCGGTGGATTACTGGAGGTCGATGACTGATGGTGTCTTTTTCTGATAATAATTATAATATGCCTACAACATTTTGGGAACTTTTGCAGCATATAGGCCTACTCTGCGTAACTGATTGCGTAACTAATCGAACGCTATTGATCATTGAAAATCCACGGCAAATGACCCATACACAAAAGTAGTTCTGAACGATCCACAAACTATATTAGTTATTTGAAGCAGAACAAAATAGGTTATAAGTACTAGACCACAAACAGGCCTTGGAAATCCATGTCATGTCTTTCATTAGTTTGTATTTGCAGTCATTTGTTTATGGAAAGGGTCCTTTTGGGTAGTCTATTACGCACGACATTCTTTTTAAATACTCTGGGTTTTCCGTGCTATTTTTTGTAAATAATGTATCTGATGATAGTTCAAAACAGTGAGGTCTAAAAATGCTCTCACCTCTAAAACGAATTGAGTATCCATTTTATGTTAATGTCACATAATAATACGCAAATGCTCAACATACATTTTATTAACACTATATGCAGATACACATTATGTAGACCTACTGTAGACCTATATGTTGGACTATTTCTATCTTTACCCCTAAACAAACATACTAGCCTGGGGATCAGATATTGTTTCTGTTTTCTTCAATTGTCTTATCTCATTGGTAAAAAGGGGACACATGGATTGACAGCTGGAACAGGCTATGCGTGCTCTTTGGATGTCTATCGCATATGCAGTTTAAGACCCGTGGCACTTTTTTAACTCACATGTCCCAAATATTAAAGATTGCACGTGTTCTAGCTATATTTTAACTCCTTCTGACCTCAGTAGCCTTCCTTCCATAACTCTAATGCAAAGATGGTATTATCCCATTTAAATGTACCATACATAACAACAATCTTTATTTTGGGACTAATGTGATATTTTCTTTCTCACAGATGTAGTGTGAAATACACATGCAAATGCACTGCCAACTTCCAAAGGTGACGTTAGTTATAAATGTGACATTATATATTAGGCCTCTCTCCATCCTTCTTGGCGAATATGAATCCTTACAGACACGATCATTTATTTTTTTGTCGCATAGCAGAAGCTGCTGCAGAATCCAAGGCTTCTATGGGGAGTGATATGTATGGGCAGGTTTATTACACATTGATAAAATAGCGACTCCTCTCTCTCAGATGCGGAGTATGCACACATAGGCCTGTATTGCACTGTAACAAAAATGGTAATCCATTAGCAATTATATAATAAGCAATGTTTTGTTAACAGTTTACGTAATTGCTATCGTTTGGCAAGTAGGCAAATTATTAGAAAGCGGTGAAGTTTGTCAGGAATTTCGAGAATAGCAACATTAGGCATACACGAGGAATGTTAAAATGAGAAGTGGGTAGTGGGTAGTGGGTAGGCCTAAATCTAAGCCAAAAATGACGTCTTAGTTCAATTCCATTTCCTACATCTTGTTGTATTTAGAGGCAATGGAACACTTTCCTTATTGCACCAGCCAGTCACCTCATGGAAAAGCGCACGGCTCAATGCACGCCTATTTTGCCATTTCTTTCCATGAAATGTTATCATTGCTCTGTGAACCTTGTTTCTCAGTATCATACAGATGTTTAGTTACTTTACTCAACTTGTTTGTGACAGGGGTGCTCAGTTGCAAATCAATTAATAAAAACGCACTGTGATTAATTTCGACTTATGAAGCGCTTTTAAGCCCCCTCGACCACCTTGTTAAACCCACATTTAAAAAATAGTTTATAACAAGCTACCCATGTATGGCCACGAACGTTTAATAGGATATATGTTGAAGTTGTTCCTCGGAGAAGCACGAGTATCATTTGCTCTTAAAATAACCTTATTGCAGATCGTCTTTTTTACAGAGCCAAAGGTTTCAACTTACTGACCCCGTTACTGTAAATACGAGAGGAGTGAGGCTGTGAGCATCAGTCGTTCCCTAAAACAGACCCGTAAAGTGGAACATCACAGCTTTATATGACACTCAATTCATCTGTAATTTGCTCTAAATATAGAGTGGGGCATGCACACCCAACAATGGTAGATATTTGGTGGGGGCAAAACAATATAACACTTACAGGCCTTCGTGCAGCTGCCTTGTAACTGTTAAAGGACATATTAAAAAGAAAAAGCAGGCTCTGGGAAAACTTTACTAAGATCAATATGGCCTGTAGCCTAATATTAATGGATTGGGGCATCACTTGGAAATGAAAGAGTAAAGTATTTTGAAGCAATAAGGAGAAATCAAATAAGCAATAAAGAGAAAACAAACCCAGATTTTCTTTTGCATAAAATTTATTTTTAAAAGCATATGAAACCCATAATACAGAAGTTAATGTTTTGTTTGGTCAGACATGGACATAGTGGGTGGCACCTTCTGTAACGCAAATTGGTGAGGACATGTGACCCTAGTCCGACCAATCAGGCGCGCCGCACGGTTTAACTATGTTAAATGTCAGTTCGCTATAAACTAGAAGCTCTTGGTCGGGCCCGCCGAAATGGGCGAGCATAATATTCTTAATCCCGGGTCCGGGTTTGTGGGACCTTTGGTAAACATCCACACTGGAGACACATTTTACCTCCCCAATTTCAGAGCGTCCGGGGGACAACTGGCGGGTCTACCCTCTCTCTCCTACCCAAGAAGGGACAATGTATGCTCGCTCCCTTGGACCCCTTCCGAGCAGTGCAATGGATATCCTCAATCCTACTTTAGCAGTCCCATGCCCATTAATCCCTCTTTCAACCGTGCATGTGAAATCACAAGGCAAGATGAAAGCAAATGTTTTTACAGCAATGGTGTCGGCAACAGGGAACCCTGCGCTGAAAGCACAATCCTCAAACGTGAAGAGAGGGCAAGAGGAGACTCCTCTTCCTCCATAACGACGGAGCATGGACTGCACAACGGGATGGGCAACAACGGTACATTTTCCAAGTACGACTATGGCGCGGAGCAGTTGACCCAAGATCCGCCATCCTGTCAATCCCTAGAATCTGACTCCAGTTCATCACTGCTCAATGAAGGGAGCAAAGCTTCTGCAGGCATCGCTCAGGCGTTGACATCCCCTGGCAATCATGCACCAAGCACAGCAGCGGGTGGAGGTGAGTTATTGAATGTTAACAATGGAATGTTATACGCTTGTTTCTGTCATTGAAATCTTATTTCTTGATTTGTTGATAGTCCTATTTCTTGTCTTTATAAATTATTAGGATACTGAATTGACACGAGGCTTGCATGTTGGGGTGAGCGCCGCTAGGGGAAGCATTCAAGGAAGGGTTCATATTTTCGTTTACACTCAGCGTTTTACACACCAGTAAACCCTTACAGCACCATAAAAACTCGATATTGTTTGTGGTAAAAATGAGAATGTCTTGATTATACCAGCAAAACAACAATATTTTTTACAATTTCAACCTATATGATTTCAGGATAAAGTCCGCAAAAACATAGACTCATGTTTATTGAGAGTTTGTTGCAAATAAAATCATACATCGAAAAAATACATGTTGTTATTCACAAGAACTCTAGCTTGCATGCCTTTGGCAATTTGATATGCTTGCATGCTTGAGAGTGAGACTACCGTTACTGACGACCTTAACTGCCACTGTAAACATTGTGTGACACAGACTAATGTGAATTACAGCGTGTCTATCCACAATCAAATTACAAGAAATATGCCATACGTCCCACTGTCTCCCCACACATTCATTGCTGAAATTCAAAATTGTAAATACCTTTTACATAATAAACAGTAGTAGTAGAATATAGCTAATTTGTTTGAGTGTCCATTTTCTACTCTGAATGTTAACTCATTGTTGTAAATTAGTCTGCTTTAAGACTGGGCCAGGAACTGCTCACACTGATGACAAAAGCTTTCAAAATACGTTTGTGCTTTGAAAAACTGATAACCAGCTCTATAGAATCCATTGATGCAGTGCAGGACTTTTACCTTAGCTTGGCGATATATGCCAAGCTATAGGCTATAGAGCCTATACGTTCATCCATGCACACCCATCCACTTCTTCTCCCCTCTCCAGGCGCCCCGTGGTACCCAATGCACACCCGAACCCGAAAGAAACGTAAACCCTACTCCAAACTCCAGCTGGCGGAGCTGGAAGGCGATTTCATGGTCAATGAGTTCATTACCAGACAGCGGCGAAGGGAGCTCTCTGACCGCCTAAACCTCAGCGACCAACAGGTTAAGATATGGTTCCAGAACCGGCGGATGAAGAAGAAGAGATTGATGCTTAGGGAGCAGGCCTTGTCCTTCTTCTAAAAGGGAGAGAGCGGGGAGAGAGAGAAGAGAGAGGAATATAGGCAGGCAGTATTTTAAATGAAACGTACTGTATTTTGGTGTAATCAAATTCGATCGCATAGCATGCACAGTATGAAGTCTGACGTCCTTAAGAAGGAGGACGCATCTGGGTTATCACTACAGATTTCGAGAAACAAATCAAGAGACCAAATATATATTTATCTGACCTTGAATCGAATAAAACGTTTCTAAAGTAGTGACAGTGCAAGGGCGTATAGTATTCCCTAGCCTATATTATGTGTTCTTTGATAGGCCTATAGAAAAATCTAATTAGTCAACGCCCTGGAATGAAAGGCACAGTGCAGTCTAAAGCATCAGAAAGTGTCAATTTACTTTATCACTTTTTTGATAAATTTCTTTGGCTATGTAGTTTCCCATAATGCAATAACCACACACTTGTGGCTCACTCGCTACGGCGTAACGTCCTAGAACAACCATGGTCACAATCATTTCTATAAAAAAATTGAACGAATCAAAGTATATCTGGGGTTTAAAAATTGATTTAAGACGTGAACAATTCCATTAATAAGTAGCCTATAGTTGTGGAGACTATGAAGCTAACAGAAAGCTATGGATTTGAGCAAATTCCATGCTGTTCGATTCAAGTCAATAGTAAGTCTAAATTAATAACTAAATTCAATTCACGAATGCATAGCAGCCTGTATTTATAAACCGTTTTAGTCCATCACCTGTGTTGAGTGGAATTAGGCTTGAACTGACCCCGATTCTGTTTAATAAGTTTGAGTTTATAGGGCTACTATAGCCTATAAGCCTATGTAGGCGACGGTGCATTATGGCTATGGCGCATAATAGTTTACATCCAATCTACATTTCACCAGTAGTCTATTTAATAAGTAATGACATTATATTTTTCCATAATCGACCCAAGAACCTATAACAATCATTAAATCTCAGAATCCTAAAACAATTACAATGGTCGTGTAAGGCTGAATTTGGGCTATGGTCTAAATAAGCATAGGCCTATTATTTGATAGCCTATTGTCTTGATCGTATAGTGGACAATAAGACAGTTTTGGGGCCTGCAATTAAAAGCCTTAGTTATGTATTTTCAATCAGTCACGGGCTCTAGGGGACGTGCATGGCCACGGTCAAGGACAACAACTGCCCCTACACCCTACTGCTGTTTTTTATAATTGCGTTTCGATATTGTTTGTAGATTACAACACTTTGATTTGCCAAAATCGATTATCTGGTATCACATTTCTCATCCCACTTAAACACACACACAAACACAAACACACACACACATTTGCTGAGTTGCAGTCTTTAAAGGCTGGGGGGACTGCGATAAGCTATTTGAGGGTATTTTGGGAGGGGTGGGCAAGTGTCCATGCTGCTATTTCTGTGCGGAATGATCCGCTGATTCTCTCGACGCTTGAGTGCAAAGTAATAGCCGATGTACCCTCATGACTATTTATCGACTGCGATCTGTTTACTGCAATAATAATTGGCGGCTTATGTAGACTAATATCTTTTTCCGTAAACACTCGGACACATCCCTACTAGATCCCTCTTTTAAACTTGTATTTCCCGTATAAATAACTGAGCAGTTGTCATGGAGTAGGTGAAAATGGTCTGGTTTAAGGCCGCCTCTTACTTAGCCCAAACAAGGGCATGAATGAGAGCAGTGAACCTGGGTCCTAACTGCAAGCAGCTCTTCTTTCGATTGGATTGATATTTAATACCAAAAAGACTAATACATGTTTTGAGAAGTACATGTAATGTAGGTTTATATAGGATATCCATTGTAAAATGTGAATAAGGTCGAGGGGCGGCAGGTAGCTTAGTGGTTAAGAGCGTTGTGCCAGTCACCGAAAGGTCGCTGGTTCTAATCTCTGAGCCGACAAGGTGAAAAATCTGTCGATGTGCCCTTGAGCAAGGCACTTAACCCTAATTGCTCCTGTAAGTCGCTCTGGATAAGAGCGTCTGCTAAATGACTAAAATGTAAATGTCGAGAAAGGATTGCAAAAAATGATTCATTGCCACGCAATTTGGACCTATCCGTTCAAATACTGAAGTTCACTTACCATCTATGCATTGATGATTATTGCTTGTTGTCTGCTACATATTGTCATTATCATATTGAAAGCTATAAGTAGGCTATATTTGAATATTATAAAAAGTAGTAAATATAGTCAGTAGCTGTATTATTGTCGAAGTGACAGTGTTTGTAAAGAATTTGGAATAAGTTCTCCCTTACAGGAATTTATTTCATGAAAATACCGTATAAATGTCCTGAATGGTTTGTGCTTCTCTCTCTCTCTCTCTCTCTCTCTCTCTCTCTCTCTCTCTCTCTCTCTCTCTCTCTCTCTCTCTCTCTCTCCTCAGTATTATTCAATATGTTACCCGTTTGTTGTCTCCATGTAACCAACTCATTTGCGAGTAGGCATACGCTATATTGTAAAAATATGAATGTTTACGATAACTGCATTTTAGAATGACCAATGTGATAGATTTTCGTTTTGTCTGTGTTGTTATGTAACATCTATATCCAGTGTATAGAATACATTGGCGATTGTCAGCCCTGCCCTATACCAATATGAATTACATGAATGTTTCAATGTATGTGTAAGGTTTATTATGTCTATTAAAATATGTTAACTTTTATATTATTATCATATTGTTGGAGTAATTATCCTGATTTTTCTGAGTTACAGTTTATATGAGGAAATCAGTCAATTGAAATAAATTCATTAGGCCCTAATCTATGGATTTCACATGAATGGGAATACAGATATGCATCTGTTGGTCACAGATACCTTTAAAAATGGGCCTCACAATGGGTCTCAGGACTCGTCACAGTATTTCTGTGCATTCAAATTGCCATAGATAAAATGCAATTTTGTTCGTTGTCGGTAGCTTATGCCTGCCCATACCGTAACCCCACCGCCACCATCGGGCACTCTGTTCACAACGTTGACATCAGCAAACCGCTCGCCAACAGGACGCCATACACGTGGTCTGCGGTTGTGAGGCCGGTTGGACATACTGCCAAATTCTCTAAAATGACATTGGAGGCGGCTTATGGTAGAGAAATGAATGTTCAATTCTCTGGCAACAGCTCTGGTGGACATTCCTGCAGTCAGCATGCCAATTGAAAGCTCCCTCAAAACTTGAGACATCTGTGGCATTGTGTTGTGTGACAAAACTGCACATTTTAGAGTGGCCTTTTATTGTACCCAGCACAAAGTCCACCTGTGTAAAGATCATGCTGTTTAATCAGCTTCTTGATATGCCACACCTGTCAGGTGGATGGATTATCTTGACAGAGGATAAAATGCTCACTAACAGGGATGTAAAGAAATTTGTGCACAACATTTGAGATAAATAATATTTTTGTGCTTATGGATGTCTGGGATCTTTTATTTCAGCTCATTAAACATAGGACCAGCACTTTACATGTTGCATATATATTTTTGTTCAGTGTAATTGGAGTTATGATTAACATCAATATTGCTACAAGTGGAGGGGTTATAGACGTTTTTGTGTTCATGTAGGCTAAACATAAAGCACATGTAGAGTACAAGCGATTCTGTGCATCCTAACAACCAACAAAATAATGCAAACGCATTCACCTTACCCGAGGCGCACTAACAGAAGTAGCCTGACGCCTTTTTGATTCTCAGCCTCTCATTTCAAGCAAATCATTTTATAAGGTATAGTGGTACGAGAACTGATAGCAATAAATCCAGTTATATTTCCTTTTTTAAACAAGCTGGCCGTAGCAAGCTATGCTTTTACAAGGCTGTGAAGAGGATGCAATAAAATAATATATTTGCAATGAAACACTTTTCCCGCCGCTTGCACATCCACATAACAGTATGGTTCAGCAATATAGGCCGATGATCAGAAATTGCAACATTACGATATTTTTTTAGGGACGCATCAGTCTTTGTTTTGCTTTGCTTTTTATTTTGTAATTTATCTTCAATCATACACTTTCCTAAACACATTTTGTTTTCATGAGAGGAACTTTAAGTTGTGAAGATATTGGGTTCTCAGCGCAGTGCTTCTAGGTTCTGGCTGTGTTACGGTTCCAGAGGCCAAAAACATCAATAGCAACTACCACTTTGTGTTCAGAATAAAACGCTTATTCCAGCATATTCATGCTTTTACACAACTGGATTTCTCGCACTGAATTTGAGTTAACTTAAAGCTTTATTTATAGAAATGGATTCAGATTCCCACATTCACACATAGGCCTGCCTACCTCTGATCACAGATAGGCTACCTCTATTCATCTTGACATTGGGTTTAGCGAAAACATATTCTAGTGTTCATTTCAACCACTTTTGACTTTAGTATATACAGTTCGTCTTAGATCAACTCATCGAGTACGCTAAAGGACATCCATAGGCTCTCTAGCATACATTCAGTTTGCAAATAATTTAAGCATTATCCAAAAGTCTTGTCTTGACCATATCTGCGTTATTAAAACTAATGTATTTAAAAGCCTTTTTTAGATTTAGCTAATTATTTAGATTTTTGCCTATCGTCATTTGTCCTTAAATCTAACCTAGATATTTTATGTCTGCAAAAAAGAAACGAGAAGTGAATTAGGCAGCACTTAAAGGTAAAATGCAGTCCTTTGGGCCATGCATGTTTAGCGGGGGGGGGCGACGACGACGACAAGAGTCACAAATGGCAGGAATTACTCTTTATGCAGAGCTATGTGGCTGCACTGATTATACTCCTGTTCTTGCTGTCAAACAAGTCGTGTGGAATTTAGATTTGGTCTCAGGGTTACATGTTCTGAAGTAGACTAGTCACAATGTCTTATTTTAATTATTAATGCAGAAATGCTATATCTTCCCATATGCACTGAGACGCTGAATGCGTTTTTTCACGTAAACCTTTCGGTCAAATTTGTTTGTATAGACTAAACCTCCCTTTCCATCTGGTACGTCCAAGTGGAGCTGCTGAATGTATCATGTATATTG